AAAATGAACCATTTTTCTGACAGAGCAGGCACGGCCTATGCGATCCCCGCACCGGTTTTCATTTGTTGCATCTGGAAAAGGCGGGAACCCGGTCCCGTAACTCAACGGAGGTGTTGGAATGTTTACTTTATTGCTACTAGGTCTGCTACTATTTTTACCTATTTGTACCGGGTGTCGCGGCTCTTACATGACAGTATGGTGGGTTGCATACGCGCTGTGGAGGCTCCGCGGTTCCGCGGGGATGCGCGAAACCCTGCGCGCTCCCGACATCACCTGCTAGCCAACGCTTATGCAACCCATCATACTGGCATGTAAGACATGTAAGACACCCGGTACAAGTGTGCGGTCGTGACGGCCAAACTCATGGTTGTGGGTATCGGATTTTTGATACAAGCTATCAAATTTAGCCTACCAATACAGATCTTATCCCCATTAGCGGATTTCACATTTGGGATAGAAACCAAGTTAATTTTTGTCTATTATGGTACGCGTCACTATTACGATGCCCGAACATAACGTGTGGCATATGGTGCCCAACTCCCACCACACGCTGAACGGCTGTTCGCGTTTTGTCCTACGCGCGGGGACCGGCTCCGAGGTTGTAGCTACAACTGTGTCGCTACAAACAGGGGCGTGCCCCCGATCCGCTTACTGCGTGGGGAACGCCGGGGCAAGTTGTAGCTGAGCGCGCCTGGAGGGTAGGCAATCAGTACCGTGCGAATGCGCGGCAGTGTTGCGGGTTTGCCTACCCAATTCGCCCGTAAGGCGCCGTGGCCCCTGCAGCCCTGGCGGGTATGCAATCCTGCAACACTGCTGCGCATTCACAGTTACACCCGGCACACAGGCAATCCTTTAGGTTGTTTTTTGGTGGGCGGGGGGGCAATTGTGTTTTTTAGATGCGTCCAGGCCCTTTAGAATTGTCAGGGATTATGTGCAGAACAGGTCCTTGCCTTCTGCTTCACCTCCACCCTGAAGGCTTCGGATTTCATATTACCCGAAAAAGGATGTTCGGGGCATTGTGGCCACGGATAGGAATAGGGACGTCCTCCCGTGGACTTTCATGTCAGCTGTGATTACAGAGGGCACGGCCAATAACCAGAACCTGACCCACCCAACGTGGCATTGTTAGCTGCGGGGGAGGCAAGGGGTAGAGGCCGGTAACAGCGGCAAGCCTTGTCGCCAGGCAACGCCGGCCCGCCCAGCCGCCAGCGCAGTCGCGCCCGACACAACCCACGACCAGCCTCTTTGCAACCCAGACCAGCCGCGCCCCGGAGCTCCCGGTAAGGCTTGGGACTGAATAAATGGTTGCACAAACCAAGCACCGGAAAAGGACGGTGACGGGGGCGGGACAATCGAAGCGCGATCATTTGCCTATATTGTGGAAGCATATTCTGAGATGAGAACTCAGCGGTCTTCCCTCGTCTTCCCCGCAGCTATGCCGCCCCGCCGCGCGCCCGCCGACGAGCCAGTGTCCCTGCCCGGCGTCATCGAGGCCGCTCGGCGTCGAGGGCGTCGGCGCCGCAGCCGCAGCCGCCGGCGTCGAAGCCGCAGCCGGCGTCGCAGCCGTAGCCGCAGCCGCAGCCTCAGCCAGGCGCAGGAGATGGCCGGCATGAGCCGCTCGCCGTCACCGGCGCCCTCGAGCCGCGCCAGCAGCGCGGCCCGGTCGCTGTCGTCGGGGAAGGCCAGGTGGGTGGACGCCACCTCGCACCAGATCAGCAGCCAGAGGTCTCCCCGCACATTGTTCCGCTTATTTGGAGACTCACCTTTGCTGTTCGCACCCTCAGGACGGCCAAGAAGAACGTGAACCCCTTCCTCAACTTCGTGGCTGCGGAGCGGGCGCGCATGGGCGCGGCGGCGCAGGGCCGCAAGGCCTCCGAGGTGACCCGCGAGCTCGGGGCGCGCTGGAGCGCCATGCCCATAGAGGAGCGGCAGCCCTACCTCGCCGCCGCCATGGACGCCCAGCGCCGTCGCCGTCGTGGCCGGCGCATGAGGCGTCGCCGGGGAAGCCGTCGGCGCCGCAGCCGCAGCCGGCGGCGTCGTTAGGCCCCGGGGACGAGACGCACGAGATGGGGCGGGCGAGGCAGACCTTGGTAGACCTGGGTTCAAGCTTTCATCTGAAGAAAAACACCGAGAGGCTGGTCGACTACAGTTGCTCTTTTGGTCATCGAAACAAAATTTAATAAAAGTTTGAAGTTTTAACAAAGCTGTATTTTCCTCTATTTTTTTTCCTCAACGTCCCCTGTTCCCTTTTCATGCTGGATGGAAGGTTTGAACAGACATGAAATCTACAGATGGTGATACAAAGCTTTTATTAATAAAAAGTAAACAAGGATGGGGGTGCCCCTGACTAGTGTTTCAACTGATATCTAACATCAGATCACTGAAAACAGATTTTTCTGGACACACTGTGAGAAAACACAAATAAACACTACATCTTTCTCAATCTCCTACAGAACCTGAAATAGAATAGAGCAATTTAACAAATAAGAAGGAATGCACAATGGTAGACATGTATAATACACTATTACCGCAGAAGAATTGAACCATTTCTGCTTGGAATGCCAACATCAGAAGGGTTCAATTCTTACTGTACTAATAGTACACTTAGTACATATTGAAATAATCAACTGATCGGTAAAAATTCCACAAGGAATTCAGTCTCTTAAAGAGAGAAAAATGTATTACAAAGATACGAAATGTTTTGGGTACTCTTACCCACGTTATGTTCATTTTAAAACAGATATAAGCTTTCATCAATTTTGCTTCAACTTTAAGGTAAAGTAAAAATTTATGATACTCAAACAATGTCTAAGAACATTTTACTGTGCAAAACCAAATTTATCCATTAGGTCAGTGCCCAACCATGTTGTGTTAGAGAGATGGCAGAGGAGGCTAGATAGATGTTTCCCTCCAGAGACCAGTACTTCAACAAACACAATTACAGGCAGTGTGATCACTGTTAACATAAACACACACATGCACACACAAATTTTACAAAAATAAGAACCATTAAACTAAATGTGTCAATAGTTATAAATCACAAAATTAAGTATTTGGTAGTCTCAGAAATGCATGGTGACATTGAATCATAGATAGTTTAATTACGAAATACTGATTGACAGTTCAAAAGCTGTACAGCTAAACTAAGCAGCAAAATAGTAGTGTGATTGCACACAAAAGCAAAAATGAGCTTGTTACAAGATTTACACGATTGTAACTACAGTATAGTTACACACCACAAAACTATAACACGCAGTTGTTATTTTCCAGAAACTATATTTTACCAGTAATACATGTATTCTGTCATGGTACTTAAATGTAAAACAATTAGGAAACAAAGTAATCACATATAATAAAGAATGTCAGTTTCACATTTAGGAGAACACCGTAAATGAGTCGTTGTTTTAAACTTTACATCAAATGTTGATGTATAATAGCAATAGCCTGATGTTTGAAGAAAAGGACTTGAGCTTAAATTGTAGAAATACCGGTAGTATGAGTGGTAACTCATCTTTCAACTAAGTAATGCATGACATCTCACTATTAAAAAACTGAGTACAGTTTAAAAATTAAACCACTGTGAGATTAAATCTGCAACTGATAACAAAATCCATACCTATAACAAAGGGTGCTAGAAAGACATTGAATGCACAAGTTCTGACCCTGGTGTTAACATATCTCATCATTCCATAGTATACAAGTTTTGGTAAATCTATTGTCAGTTTCCAGCTTCACACTGCTATGATTACAATTCACAATAAATAAGTTTGCCAATAAAATTGGAGGGGGGGAGGGATACCTAACTTGGTCCATTGTTAGCTCCGAAGCATACTTTGGGCATATAATTTCCTCATACTAACTGATGCAGCTGGACAATTGTTTTAAATTTTATATCGGAATTAGTAACAGTCATAAACAGTCCAAGGAGTCTACGTATTAGGTAAAAGGTTTGGAGAATTTATATTTACATACAGTCACAAAAATGTACAACAAAGACAAATTGTTTGCTAAGAGAAAAATCCTCAGAAGTGGAGTTATTTTTGAATGGAAATCAAAGCTACATTATTGAATCAAATCAGCTAAAAAAATAAAGTATTTTTTAAATTATGTATGTACACATTATCTTTCAACAACATTTGAAAAAAGACAAAATCAATTTATACTTGCTTCAATGGACACTCAGTGCACTTCAATCCGAATCACAACCCACAGCTGTCTCCATTTGCTAGGATGGCAATCTACAAAATACATATTTTCTTGAAAAATTCGTGAGAAATTTGGCTAAAAGAATAGGAAAACAGTACTGACACTGGTCAATTCTTAAAAATAAAATAATGGCAGCATGACGAAGCTGATGCAATGTGAATATAGAGCAAATGTACTATATATCACTGTCATTACAGCATAATGTCTGCTATGTGTTCTTCACTGGAATTCTACCCCCTGAAATTACTGCCATTGAAATTCTAGTTTACCCCAGACCTTTTCCAATTACATAAAATAAGACTACCAAGACTTGAAATCAAGCACCCTTTCAGATAAACATACAGTATGTGCAAATCCAAATCAATTCTAAAACAGTACATAAAACCGTCTCATGATAAAACCATACATCTTTCTCTCCACTTAAATCATTAAATAATTATTAATGCTATTTCACTGTTCCAGCCATGAAGGGATTGAGGAATTTGGTGACTTGAGCTTGATATTGAATTGCTTCAACGTAGCCTCAAGCGCTTGCTGATTACCAGAGAAATATGCAGATACTGCATTGTGAAGTAGTAGAAGCTGCTTGTGCATTACCTTAATCTGTTGGGGAAAAATATAACACTGTATAGTTAAGAAATAACAATTAACAATTTCCAAATTCAGAGCAAAATTTACCCGATTTTCATCCAGAAACTTCAACTTTATTGTCACATCAGATCGCAATTTTTCAAAGTTAACCTTGTGTTGTTCATATAACTGTGTTGCCTCTTCTAAGCGAGCGGCATTAGCTTCACTCCTGTTCTGTGACAGGAGTTCAAGATCTGTACGATACGCATCATATTCTATCCTGTAACAGCACAAAAAATACCCATAAGATATAAAGAAACCAGAATATTTGGAAAACTTTGGCTTTTTAAAGGGAAGTATTTGAAATTACCGAGCTGCTTCATATTGTCGCACGGTTAGTAATGTATCTTCAATTGTTTTATTGCAAAGAGTGTTCACAGAAGATACAAAAAAGTTCAAAGCTCCCAGCAATGTTTCACCATTTTTAGTTAAACTCCTTTGAGTTTCAGCATTGTAAACAAACTCTTCTTGTAACTCAGGAGATTTTTGGGCAAGTTCTGAAAATGCTTCACCCAAAGCATGCTGTAACAACATTAGTAGATTGTCAGACACTTCTTCATGGTACAGAAGGATGCAGTAATATGGATATAAACAAAAAAAGAGTGGGCACCTGAGTTTGAACAACATGATAAAAATGGCTTGTAAGTGCTCGTGACAACCGAAGCACATTTGAATATTTTCTTTGAATATCTCGCAGCTGTTCGATCTGAGCCTCCAGTTCTAAAGCAAAAACAAGATGAGAAACAATTAATACTTAAACTACAGTTACAATACTTCAATCAGATCAACATTATGGTCAATTCTTCAAAAAGGGTGTCAAATATTGACACAGTACCAGAATCCACGGTTCGAGATGATTTCCCCAGTTTTTCAAACATCAGTTGTTTTGTACATTTGTACGTTGATATACTCCAGTTCTTAATAGTTTCCATCTTAGAAGCCTGAGATCTCATCAGCGTTGGGTCACCATTTTGAGATGGACTTGTTGGAGTTGAACGGTTTGAAGGTGCTATAAGGATAACATTTTGGAATGACATATTGAGGGAGAGCATACCATAACTATGTTTGATGAAGTTAACAAACCATTTGTTGTCCCTAGAGCAAGAGAAGTTGGATGAGCACGAGGTGAAGGTGCTGTGGCTGCAGAATGTACAGCGCTACTGTTTTCAGTCATGTCAGTAGATTCCTTCAACATTTCTTGGAGGCTGCGCACAGCAACTGGGCTGGTTGCTGGACGACTACTTGTGACACCAGAATGAGCCATGGTGAGAATTACGCTATGAAATTAATCTGAAACACAATATTAAGAGCAGTATACTTTAAAAGTCAGTTATTTCTAGTCCTATCAAGAACAAACAGGCATCAATGTTGTTCTAATAAAGTTGTATTCAATGTCATCAGACAGAAGTTTCAGATTACAAATATAACCATAATGAATGATTAATATTATTCATAAGTGTCAAAATTATCATCAATACAAGCTGAAATAAATATCACTGCAATAGATGGAACTGTAAACTATTTCAAAAACTAAAAGTGACAGTTTGAAATAGGTTAGGACCCACATCGGTTTAATGAGTGGATTGGCCGTTTGAGCACCCATCTCTTGTTTAGCATCTGTTAATAATTTGATCTGCAATCGAAAAAATCTGGCCCTTTCTCTAGTTAGCCGTCAACTGTGTAAAATTAGGATTAACCTATAGCAGAGTCAACAAAGTTCAGCTTCGTGGCCCGAGTCAGAAACATCCATGTTAAACAAGCCAAGCATTACGAAAAGAAAATCGGGGTAATATTTTCACCAAAGATTGCTTAACCATAAAAATCAATTTTCCAAATAGTATTACCAGAAGTATGACTTTGTATCACAATAAATTAAACATAGTAGCCAATGACGTCATCGGTTTACGTCTGCTCTGCTTCTGATTTTGCGGGCGCGGGTGGGCGGGCAGGCGTGCGGGCTAGGGCGGGCGACTCCCTCCACCCACCTCCACCATCCCCTCCCTTCCATTCCACCTTTCATCCCCCAACCCGAAAGTCGGCAGCCGTTCGTGACTACTATTTACACTCTGAGCAGTGGTCGAGGGAATATTGCCGACAGCAGCAATCCGATGTGACAAGAATTTCTACACAATTTCGAAAATTAAAGCACAAAATATGCCACAATGAAAACTTTCCTTGTCATAATTCTGACACAGGTATGCAGTGCTTTCAGTATTCTAGTGTGCTTTCCATGTGCTGAGTACCGCGCAGTGTTTCGGTTTTGCTAGTTTTGCCTACCCTAGGGTGGAGCGAGTAGGCAAACCCACAACTGCTGAGCCGTAGCCCTGACACGCGGTACAGTTGCCGTTGGCTGTCCCGTTGGACGCGCCGGCCCCGCTGGATTGCCTATGCTCCCTCCGCAGGCGCCTGGAGTGCAGGCCGTCCCGTTGGACGCGCGAG